CGATTTAGGGTAAAACAATTATTTTTGATTATTATGTGATTACTGAGAAAGAAACCTACGAACTTTAACAACATCAGTACAAATATGGACAAGGCAGACGGAAGTTCAATGAACGTTGTCCATACAACATCCAGTCACATGAAAACACTGGTAAGGTATCTAGTAGGACACCAACTGTAGCAAAATCATATGTCCTCATTTACTTATTCAGCTGTTTACTAGGTTATTCTCCTTTCCATTTCCTTGTGACTGCTTTTCACTTATTATTTTGGAGAAGATAATTACACTGTTATATATATGATATTGTACTGATATAAATTAAATAGTGTTCTATGTACACTCCCAACAAAATATACAATGTTTACATTATTTCATGTAGCACTGATTTCTGATATAAAAACCATAAACGTTTTATAATGACGTCAATGCTCCACATGGCTCCAGTGTAATTATTTCTTAACAGAGTGAATTTCAAAATGTTTACTATCTTTTTGCTAGCGTCTGTATGTATTCAAAGTAATAAATGGACCTTTTAATCTTTAATTAACGGGTGGAATTAGTGTAATTTTATGATATTATTTTTCCATATGTATGTAAATATTTTGACAACGAAATTAAATCACCAAGGTTAATATTTGAATAAAGTTGTGTTGCCGAATTAAAAAAAAGCATAAAAAGAACAAAAAAAGAAAAGAAAACAACAAACAAATATCAATATATATGTATTACAACATTTATACTCACCAATTCCTTGTTTTCTGCCAAAATATTTTGATCCTATAAACATATTGTATGTTTAATGCACATATTGCATGCAATAAAATAAATATTAGTGTGTAAGTTAAGTTTGACTTTTAAAACAATTATAAGATAAACACAAATATGAAGCAATAAATCAATATAAATTATCATTATACAAAACCCTCAAAAGGAATTACATATAACTATAAAATATGAAAAACAAGATCAATTGACGCAACCCACACTCGACCCAGCAACACAAGGACAAAACCAGGACAGAACACAAGGCTCAAAAAGTAAAACAAACTTGTGATTAACAACCCATCTTCTGTACTGATTTTATCCATAAAACTTTCTGAAAGTTATTACTATTTTGTTTAAGTACAAGGTATGGATTTAACATCTCAAATGATATATCAGATACAAATCTAGTAGATCATTGACTTACATTATATAATTTATCACCCATTTCCTTGGGAGGAAAATCGAATTCGACAATTTAATTGCGTGCTTTCTCACAAAACATCCCACGTAACTTCATTTTATCATATATTTGTCTGAATCATCTGAATCTTGAAAACAGAGAAATGTGAGTGTGTTTTATGTCATGTCTGCTACTGCACTAAAGAAGATAGCAGATTTTATATCGTCTGCAATTTATCTGAAAAGAAACCAGCTCTTGGAAGTTATTTTAAGATTTTCCTGGTCTGTGTGTCAGGTTCATACAAATATATCTGACCTTAATGTACGTGCATGCATATTGTCTATGTCAATCGTAATAATATATAAACAATAAACAATAAACGATCGTATCATCAACATGCTTATTCTAACCATTGTCAGGAAATAGAAATTATATCCATGATTACATATCAAAGACAATGATCTATCATATCGCTTCTTGCTGATCATTCTTGAGTGATAATTATATGCATATATTGTCCATTAAAAAGAAACAAACAAGTCACCTTATGAAGTAATTTTCATTTTTATACCAGATTAATTGTATTATATTGACAATTTGTTTTAAAATCGTTTGACCGTGTAAATTTCTTTGCAACCGTTTTTTATAGATCATATGATCTGGCAAATCTAAATAACTAATATAGCATCAGTAAGGAATGGAATAGAGAAAATAAGAATCCCAAAAGAAAGCCCAACACTGCAAAATTGAAAAGGTTGCAGGCTCGGTTTGATTGAGCCTGTTCATAGACGGTACTGTCAAGTGAAAACTACCGTCCGCACCCCCTAGCACCGGCTTAAGCAGAATTCAACATTTAACATGAACGGGTACAATTTTGAATTTTGAAACATCCACAGATGTGTCCATATGGCGGTTATCGCATCACGGACATACATATTGCCTTATCAGAGAAATCGGAATATCTTCGTATTTAAATAATTAAAATCGTCAATTAATACTTATCATTATTGAAAGTATATCGAGAACTTTACATATTACACATTGAATTTTACATCACTCAATGGAGTTAGCAAATGTAAACCATTTATATATTATAATTTTTAAGGAAAAAATTTCTCAAGAATAAAAAGTCAAATTGTTTAGCAAAATGAAAATACAGACCTAATAACTGGATTAGCGCCATCAAAGTAACTTTAACAAGATTTAGATTAATGAAATATTTACATTACAGAATTAACTTTGATACAATAGATTAATATGGATTAATCTAGATCACTAATGTAGAACATATTATGATATAAATATCAATACATGACGTTGTTTATGCTGATTACCGCAATATTTAAAAACTTTAATAAAATAAGCGCAAGTATGACCTTAATTCGGTCAATGATTAGGTAAGGGGCATTAAAACTTGACATGAGAACTTTTATTCTGATGAGATTATTACACCGCTTTTTAGATATTTAAGGGGATCATAAATAATACATTATATATAATGGACATTTCAAAAGTACATGTCATGAGATTAAACATATATAGCCAGTACATGTGTGCAAGCTGCAAATTTTTGTATAGTCTGCATAAAACTAAAACTAGTGATTAAATCATTCAGAAATTAAAATGATATGTGGACAAATATTTACTGTAGCATCTTAACATCAAACTCACACAGTACAAAAAAACTAAGCAGAGAAATAATGGAACGCATTAGTTATTTACTAATGATCTGATATACATTGTATGTTTTGGAACAAAAAAACAAACAAACAAAAAACGAGAAAGTTTACAAATTAAAAAAGATAAAAAAATAAATGTTTGAAGAATTAAATAAGTAAATTATTTAATGCAATAAAAGAAAGCATATAATCAAAACATTAACCGACCGAGCAATACTGTCAAAACAAACTCTTCAAACAATAGTTTAAATATTCAGATAAATGTCCTTAGGTTTCCGCGCGGACTATATTGGATCATATAGCATGTCTGTGATGAATATAACATGTCTACGATGAATATAGCAAGTCTATGATGAATATAACATGCCTGTTATACGTCTATGATGAATATAGCATGTCTGTGATGAATTTACATACCTGTGATGAATAAAGGATGTCTGTGATTAGTACAAATGTCGGACATGAATATAGCATGATTTAGCTCCTCTGTTACATAAACAAATATAACGTAGTTTAATCTCAACTCAACGTTTGATGATCATTATACAATGTAGTGCTTTTGTTCGAAAGTTATGAAAACAGCATGAAGTATTGTCTGCCAGTTTATTATTTTGCTGCTTACTCTTTGCTAAATAACTATATCAATATTACTATAAATCCATATACGGGACAAAGTCTGTTAAATAAGAGGACATAACCAAATAAAAAGCACACGTGAGCATATATCGTGGTCTCATGAGATATGATTAACATGGTAACTATAACCGCACAACTGTTTACCAGTTTTATAAATAAATTTTATAATATCCCAATACCTGAATAGATTTCAGTCTCTCTGTGAAGTAATTTGTGTGCGTTTTATAACGCAAATTTTCTCTGCCAATTAAGACCATTTGTTAAATCGATCAAGCCGACTTTTGCCAATTGTGTTTGATATAAACAACCATACTTAACCTTTACTAATTGGAAAGGTTCCAGTTCGTTCTTTGTAGGATGTATATTATTTCAACTAGTGCAGTGCAGTTCTGAAGATAAAACAAGTAATACATAAATATATAAGTGGGAAGAAAACCTTCCCGTCCTATTGTCAACAGTGTTTGCGTATAATTCAGTGCATAAGATGAATTATTATGCGCACAGATTGCAATACTCTGTTTGTAGAGAAGTAAATGAATCTATGTCAAGAAGCGATTCCTATATCGCTGCATTATATCATACATGTTACTAGCTCTACACCATTCATTCACATTGAACGTCAGAACTTAATTTAATTTCCATGATGGATTTTCTGTATGCCTTGAATATTATCTAATTAGAACAATATTTATGTTCGTTTATATTGGATACAAAGTTTTATCTAGGGTATTTTAAACAAATAATACTTATAATTAGAACGTAGTTTTGCTTCTTTGGCCTGTAATCTATGTCTTGGCTTCACCACGCCTTAAATATAGTGGTAGAATGTAATCCTATATATTTGGCAACACTATCCTGACCTCTGTGATATTTAACGTGTCAAAGTCAATAAATATCCATAATAGACTGAGGCTTTTACCATTAAATCTACTGCTTTTATATAAATTGTCAATACATGCGGAAGTTTGTAGAATATATTAACAATGTAGTTGATGCTTTCATTGCTGTGGTATACAGACGAGCAAATTAAAACTTTATATTTTTATTGACATAAGTTTCAACAACATCATCTTAATGTTTCATAATTTTGGAGACATTAAAACGACATGAGTCTTGGCATGTCTATTTGTTATATTAGGCAATAGCGTGACTCAAAAGTTATGAGATATGTTCAGTAACAGACTTTTCTAGTGTCTCTATTTCACTTATTCACTTACATTTATATAAGCCAAATATGACAAATGTATGTTTCTTAGTGCCAGGCAGTGAATTTATACATGTGTAAAATATAAGACATAGGATTTCTGACGTTCATTATTCTACAGAAAAAATATGTAGACGTATGACGCTGACATTACAATTATACCTTATAAATACATGTATCCAAATTAATCATTTAGAATTGCTTACTAGGTAAATTCTAGCTTGGTTAATCCGGAACAGTACCTTTTTGTTTCGTTGATTATTTTTCGCTTCAGTAACAGATCAGTTAAATCAAGATTCTTTTTGTCTTATTTCAGCGTTCGTGATGACCCTTGGAGTAGGGGACGGCGAAGAGGATTGTATCGGCTGTAAGTAAAATGTTTTGTCATTTAAAAAATAAAATAAATAACAGCATTTATAGAATTTTCGACTTTAATAATGAATCGTCATTTTCAGTATTCATTCTATTGTTTGAAATATGTAAGGCTTATTCAGTTTAAAATTAAGTATAAAGTAAATGTTCGGCAATTATAAAGATTTGGTAAAATGCTTAGTTCAGTAGTCAAAAAGGGCTGTATAAATATATTATATAAAGTTTTTCTTTCAAGTATCAAAATCTTTAAAGAGATTAAAATGTTTTAAAAATAATATTCTTTTTTATTGAGTTTCTTTATTTTCATCACATTTCTCGGTGATTGTGTTTCAAAATTTTGCAAATAAATTATTTTTTATATGCATATAAAAATCATCAATGCAATACAGTGAATGTCTTTGACAGAAATTGATGTTTTATATATGAGGAAATGAAACAATGTGTATGCCATAATTAACCTACTTGTCCAGTCTAAAAACTGTTGGTAACTCATGTTTTATTTTGTTGATGACATCTCTTAAAATCCGAATAAACTCTTTCATATTCAAAGTAGGTCAAATCAATCAAAAGCATCTCGCAGTTAAGGGTTTACTACATGTATTTCTTTAGCATTCAAAGTTCGTTCAAAACATCAAGCAATTTGTGTGAAATATTGAATGACTGTACCTTGGGAAATCAGTTTTCTCACAGTGGGTTATTTGATGCATAACAATTTTTCATAGTTTTGATATGTAAAACTGTTCCACGTGAGCTTGTATCATGGCATTTATCTTCATTTTGTTGAATGATGTATTCCCACTGGTACATTTTGTCCTCGAGTTAATTTCTGTTTACTTTTTAACTTAAATCTCAAATTCGTCAACACACCAACGATTTTGTCTCAGTTAATACGGTATAATTATACATGAAGATTTCTTACATCAATAGAATTAAACAAAATTTAAACGGCACAGAACGTTTTGCAATTTATCAATGTTTAGAATCATAACATAAGCAGAAACAAATTGCTAAAAATCAATCGTTTTTACATGACGTATTGATACTTCTGCTTAAGCCGGTGCTAGGGGGCGTGAACGTTAAATCGCATTATCAAAAACAGTCCATGAAGAGGCTCAATCAAACCGAGCCAGAGACATTTTTGATTTTTGTCGTTTAAGGCGTTCTTTAGGGATTCCTTTTTTTTTCTATTTCAGTGAACTTAACTTTGGTATAAACAACCCCGGTTCGCTTGCCATAATTAATTGCTCATTTGTTGCGAAAGTTTTACATGTCAAAAAATAGTTTCCACTGTGTTTCTTTTAACTTTTGCTTTTTGAACATTCAACTCATCCTTGAACATAACAATTTAATACTGCATTCCAAAGGATGTGTATTCATTACTTACTTTCACTTTTTTGCAAACACTTAAATGCCTGGGATGAAGTAATAATCGATTTTACAAACCATGCACCGGATAAACCACATAACTTTTAGGCACCACATAGGAAAAGTCCCAAAACATATTTTCTTTTTGGTTTGGAAAATATTTCAGCTGTCTAATGACTTGACAACCTAGTATATATTGTATTATAATTTTAAACAGATTATAGACCTTTTAACAATTTATGATGTAAACAAATATATCTGTCATAGATAAAAGAGACCACCTGCATAATTGTAAAACCAGTGCCAAAAGTCAACCAATTCATGATAATTATTCTATTAAAAATGTGCATTTTCGAAATATTGATTTAAAAACATTACCATGTTATTGAAATGAATATGCTATATGATAATTCTGACACAATATTTTGCATTTCAGTTGCCGGCCAGGCGCCGATACAATGTTACGAGTGTATGTCTGTGACGGATGACCATTATTGTGGGGACCCCTTTAACGAAACAAATCCACAGCATCAAAGTAAACGGTGTAAAGAATACTGTGTAAAATGGACCAGAAAAACGCTTAGTGGTACAGTTATTCCCTTAATTAAATCAATATTTTTAACATGCTAAACAATACTTTGATAAAATATAAAACTCTATATCACCAGAATGCAGATAAATGTATCTATCAAAACGCTTAATGAAACGTTTCTCCCCATGTACTAGTACTACAATGGAAAAAAAAAACAACGAATGAAGCAGTTAAAACACATAGAGGCAAATTAGATGTTTTTACTGGTAAATTTACTTCAGCAAATACCAATACTATTACTTTAATTAACAAGTCAAAGGGTAATAAATATAACTCCAGAATGGTAGCCTCTTAAACATAGAGAAGTTCATAGACGTTTAATTCAATTAGATGAAATAGTATCATGTTATATAGATCCGAATAGACTTTTGGTTTTATCAGCTCATCAATGTTATGAAAACAGGGATATTGGTAAAAACAAATAAAGTAATTATTTTCTAAAAAGATCCTCAAATGATTTTACGTTTTATAATAATCATTATGTTTATGTTATACTTAATTCGGTGCGAGGGGGCGCGGACGGTATAATGCATTTACCACTGCTGACGTGCATAGATAAGCTCAAACAAACCAAGCCTTTACAGTTTCAATGTTTCCATTTTGAGTGCTATTTTATTTGCTTTTGTGGTTCTAAACATAAAATTTAAAGCAGTATGATAAGCATAAACTACATACATTATGGTATGTTTAAACCCATACAACAGCACGTTAAGTGGACAGTGATCTGTTCAATTTCGAACTAACTGAATGATAAGACAATTTGTTTTCAAGTTGCACTCTTACCTAAAAGTCGCGTGGTGATTACAATGCCAGTAACCTTTGTGTGTACATACAATTGATAAACATTCAAACGTTGGTATCAGCAATTGCGTTCATTGAACGCCGCCTTTCCTTGTTGATCTCGTTTATCATATATTCATTATCTAAAACATATATGCATACTATTTTTCTTGCAGGAAAGACTTTGATTCAGAGAACGTGTTCTAGTAAACTGGAGATAAAGTTACGAAAAACGCCAGTTTGTATTCACGAGTCACGTCCATCCGAGGGTATGTTGTGCTTCTGTAATGAAGACCACTGTAACTCAGCTGTCACGATAACAAATAGAAACTTCATCAAAATTATCGTTCTTGCCTTTATAGTTATAGTATGCAATATTCGGTGAAAACGGCTAGTGAAAATGACATTAAAATTTGCTCAAAAGTAAGTTTGGCAAATTTGCAGGAAAACCAAGGATGTAACTATTATTATAACAGACATAAATGTGTTCAGTCTATGAATTCATAGGTATGAAAAATAGTGTACTAGTAATTTAGATTAGTGAGATAATCATGTGTTATTCAACTTTACATGAATCAAGGATACGATGGATTAATTGATTATACAGACACCTGTCAAAGAACGTCATTTTGGATATGTCGTTTATCAGATTTACATCAATCAGTGACAGCTACAATAACTAAGAAGCCTTTGGAGGAAACACTTGTTAAATTACAAAGTGCAAACATGTTAATAAGTGGCTGTAGCAATAGATACAAAAACAATTACAACATAATTTGGAGTGTATTGTGAACGTTCAATCAGATATAATGTTTCATGTTAAAAAAGATATTCAAATGATCACAATACAATACAGCATAATGCAGAAAGATGTGTACAAGCGGTTGATAAATCACCATCGTGTATATACATATATATTAACCCCCAATAATCTGATGGTATATCCTAATGGCATTATATGCCAAAAACTATTCAAGTCCACTATGCAAAATAGTCATAGAAAAACATACTAGTTGGCATAGTTGTGCATGCTTATTTAGAGAATGTTACTACTTTACAGATAGAACAAAAAGGTTGACATTCTGTTGAGATTTTGCTGCTGGGTGTCCACCAGATATACAGTAGAGAATAGAGACCAGTCTCAAAACTTGTTAACTGTTATTTATCATTGCTCAAAACAATTCACTTATGAAGTTAAAATTTTGAAACTGGTCTCCATTCTGAAAATATATTGATGTGTTTAAAAAGATCAAATGCTAATTTTAAAGGCACTTTATGTCTCAGAAAGGATTTTTTTCTTTCATTATGAAAGACAAAAATGGGTTAATAATGTTCAAGTAGTGGATTTTGAGCACTTTAGAGCTTATTGCCTGAACAAAGAAGCGCTGAATGTGAAATTATTTTTCATAAATTTTTCATAATGGGCCTTAATGTTAACAAAACAACAACGTGGTAAAAGCTGTGTTTGGCAAGAACTGGTTTGTAAATCTCCAATATCCTTGGGTCATCAACTTGTATATAGTGTTTATTTATTATCACAAACTATTGAAAATTAGCACAACGAATTTTAATATCAGCTTTGTTATTTAATCCAAAAATTAGATAAAATAGCTATACATGTTTTGCATGAAAGTACATTTAATTCAAAATTGATTTTTGTCTGGTCTTATTTGCTTGGGTTATTGATTGGATTTGCTTCTATACAGCAATACATATCAATAGTAATGGGCACTTGATATATAGCAGTCATAATATTTTCGGTGCCTAATCTTTCAATATTCAGAAATCATTTATTTTATTCTCAGACATGAAATGAAAAAGATGTTTTGCTTTGTATTAGTGTAAAAACTGTACATTTGCAATGAAACTATTACTTAGGTCTAAACTTTGCTTTTTTATGATTTAATGATTTTTTTATGTGCTGCATAAATTCTCATCATTTAAACGTTGACACTTTTATATCTGAATATTTTTATTTGTCTAAGGAAACTTATTTAAAGATAACTGATACTGGTTCTCATATAATTAACATTTTAATCCCTAATTTAATCTGAATGTAGTGCGACAATGGAAAACTCACGTGTATAGCACATCTTTCTTGCTAAATGAAGTATCAGAGTAAATATGGTAATGTCTTAGAACTTTACATATATATAAGCACCATTGTATTTTTTTCTCTTTTAATCTTTGCACTTCTATACTTTTTAGCGTATTCAACAACTTTATATTCTGTACAACTTGAATTATAACACACATTTTATATACATGTTCTGTACGAACATTCGTTAGATATATTGTTAAAAGTAACATATTATGCACATGCAAGTGTACATGATCAGTGAACAAGTTAGACTCAAATCAACTTGACATTTTGCAAAAATTGTGTTAAGCCACATAACCAATGAAAATTCCTATAAATATCGTTCAGAATGTTTGGTAATGCTCAATGTTAAAAAAGAGTGGAGACAGTCTTTTTAGCTCACCTTGCACAAAGTGCAGGTGAGCTTTTAGGATGGCCAACCAAATGGCGTCCGTCTTCCGTCCACATTTTAAATATTCTAAGGACATCTTCTATGATACCGCAAGGCCAATGTTAATGAAACTTGGCAGGAATACTCTTTGTATGAAGCTCTATCAAGATTGTTCAAAGAATTCCATTTCATGCAGAACTCTGGTTGCCATGTCAACCGAAAGAAAAAATCTTTAAATATCTTCTTTTTAAAGAACCGTAAAAGCTAGAGCTTAGATTTTTTGGCATGAAACATCTTCTAATGAGTGTCTACCAAGTTTGTTCAAATAAAAGCCCTAGGGTCAAAATTGGCCCCGCCCCAGGGGGTCATTGATTTTCCCTATATGCCATATAGTAAAAACTTAAAAAAATCTTCTTTTAAAGAAACCCAAAGAGCTAGAACTAAGATATTTGGCATGAAACATCTTCTAGTGAGTGTCTACCAAGTTTGTTCAAATAAAAGCCCTGCACGGGTCAAAATTGGCCCCGGCCCGCGGGGGTCATTGATTTTCCCTATATGCATATAGTAAAAACTTTAAAAAATCTTCTTTTAAAGAACTGTAAAAGCTAGAGCTTAGATATTTGGCATTGAAACATCTTCTAGTGAATGTCTACCAAGTTTGTTTCAAATAAAAGCCCTGGGGTCAAAATTGGCCCCGCCCCAGGGGGTCATTGATTTTCCCTATATGCATATAGTAAAAACTTAAAAAAAAATATTCTTTTAAAAGAACCCAAAGAGCTAGAGCTAAGATATTTAGCATGAAACATCTTCTAATGAGTGTTCTACCAAGTTTGTTCAAATAAAAGCCCTGAGGTCAAAATTGGCCCTGCCCCATGGGGGGGTCATAGATTTTCCCTATATGCATATAGTAAAAACTTAAAAAATCTTCTTTTAAAGAACCAAAAGAGCTAGAGCTAAGATATTTGACATGAAATATCTTCTAGTGAGTGTCTACCAAGTTTGTTCAAATAAAAGCCCCTGGGGTTCAAAATTGGCCCCGCCCGGGGGGTCATTGATTTTCCCTATATGCATATAGTAAAAACTTAAAAAATCTTCTTTTAAAGAACCATAAGAGCTAGAGCTTAGATATTTGGCTATGAAACATCTTCTAATGAATGTCTACCAAGTTTGTTCAAATAAAAGCCCTGGGGTCAAAATTGGCCCCGTCCCAGGGGGTCATAGATTTTCCCTATATGCATATAGTAAAAACTTGAAAAATATTCTTTTAAAGAACCCAAAGAGCTAGAGCTAAGATATTTAGCATGAAACATCTTCTAATGAGTGTCTACCAAGTTTGTTCAAATAAAAGCCCTGGGGTCAAAATTGGCCCGCCCCAGGGGGTCATTGATTTTTCCTTATATGTGTATTAGCAAAAAACGTAAAAATGTTCTTTTGAATAAACCCAAATAGCTTGAGTTTAGATATTATACATGAAACATCTTTAAGTAAATATCTACAAAGTTTGTTCAAATGAAAGCCCGGGGGTCAAAACTGGCCCTGCCCCAGGGGTGTCATTGTTTTTAACTATATGTGTATAGTAAAAACTTAAAAAATCTTCTTTTGAAAACCCATTGAGCTAGAACTTAGATATTTAGCATGAAACATCTTCTTATGAGTGTCTACCAAGTCTGTTCAAATAAAAGCCCTTGGGTAAAAATTGGCCCGGGGGGGGGGGCTATATACAGGTGAGCGACCTCAGGGCCATCATGGCCCTCTTTTTATAATTAAGTTCTTTTTTACATTCTTTCATAAGGGGATTTCATTATCAATTATTGGCCAGCCACTTAGTCTATTATGATAGTCAATCTTTTGAAATATATTACTAATGCAACTCAAATTGACATAGAAAAAATGAGCATAATGTCACATGATATCACAGAGAATTATTGTCTTAAATAATATGTTTTACCATATATTTTGACCACATTTAGAACACGGAAATATGCTTAACTGACAAAATGGTAAGTTGCATTAAAGGATTAAAATATGGGTAGTTAATTGTTTAAAAGTGGATTAACAAAGGACTCCTGGCTATCATAAGCTCATATTTTTCAGTGACCGACTTACCAAGATTTTATGCAATACGAAAAATGGAAGTGGGCGATAATCCAAGTTTAAAGCAACATGCCTCCAGATTTGTGTAATTTTGATAAACATTTTTAAAATGTACTTAAACGTAAAATATTGTCAAGTGAACAAAAAAAAAAGTAATTTTCACCCTTCCCCAAAAGCCACTTACCCGTTTTTTACCCAAAAGTACCTTAAATAAGGGCATAATAACCCGTACCCGGTATGACCCCAGTAAAATTATTATAAATTCTTTTTAAAAAAAAATTTAAATTTAAATTTCATTTTTACATGTAAATTATTTCTTGCATTGAGAAAGTTTTAACTATTCTTAAAGGAACTCAGAGTATGTTGTTTAACATGAAGGGACTGGAAATAACTTTCCAAGATCAATGTTCCATTTTAAGTAGTTCTAGACCAAACACCTAATTTCAAAAAAGTCTAAAAGTTTAGATCTTTCACTCAGTCCGTTTTTCAAGTTTCTTATAGTGAAAAATGATTCAAAATTGGAAGGCGTTATAACTCTTTCTACTCAAGTAGGACTAAGAATAGCATAAAGATTTTCCGAGTACATTTAGTAGAATTATCATTTGCAAATCATCTGTTTAAATGCCTCATAGTTCTCTGAATGAAATTCAAACCTTATGGTTTTGGGCTTTTAGATCTCAATGGACTTCCTTTAAAATCTATTTCTTTCTCAAGGTTGATTCTTTTAAATATTCTGGCTGATCTGGAGGCATGCAGCTTTAAGATTACCTACAACTTTACCCATATTTTCCAGTTTAAGACAAAAAAACAGTCGCTGTCACAGTAGTATTGTTTTGCTATTTAATAAAGTACCCTATTTTAAAAATTTTCCCCAAAAAAATTTAAAAGAACAGTTTTTTTTCTAGATGTGGGTTCATATTTTAAAGAAGGGGCAAGTCCCTTTTGCGTGTCATGGGGGTTTAAAATTTTAAAATCGGATACATAACTGGGCCTGTAGTAAAAAACCTAGTATATTTTTTTTCGCTAAACATTAAAAAAACCCTGCCCTAAACCTCCATTGGGCCTTTTAAATTTTTTAAAAGGAAAAAGGCTTTGTGAAATTTTTCTTTGAGACGAAAAAATGTTTTTTTTAAAACTGAATTTTATACTTTAATTTTCGAGAAAGGAACCAAGAGACATTTATAAATTTTGATAGGGGCTTTTAAAAATCATTTCTTCTTCTAAAGCAATCATTTTTGTTTGACTTTATTTACAAAGTCATTTAGTTAAAATTAGCTAGACTTTAATTACGGTAGCATTGTATTGATATATGTTTTTATTGACAATATTTGATAATTCACCTGATTATGATATTAAATAAAGAAAAAAATCATCACTTAAAAATGACTTGTGTCTATTTATTTGCACACAAAAGGAATCATATATCATGATGAAATTTTAAAGTTATTTGTCCGTCCATACATCCGAGTACAGGGCATTTAAATGGTCAACAAATAAAATGTTTATTCCATAACAAAAGAATAAGGGGTCATCGAAAAATAATCATGAAAGGCTCCTTAGTAAATTTTGGTTAAACGTCTAACGGGCCACACAACACAATAAAGAAACAAAAAAGGAGAAAAAAAAAAAACAGAATCCCTAAAAAATACCAAAACGACAAAATTGAAATTGTTGCAAACTCGGTTTGATTGAGTCTATTCATAGTTGTTACTGGAAAGTGCAAGTAACCATCAAGGTCCCTTAGCACCGGTTTAAGCGATGTTTAACATTTAAACCTGTAATGGTACACTTTTGAATTTAGAAATATCCGTAGATATGTTCATATAGGGGTGATAATGGCACCTTCAATGTGACACGTTAGCGTCAATCCATAAAAAGCCGCGAGTGCCCCCCTCCCCATTAAAATGGGTGTGCCTCAAACGAGAAAAAAAGGACAGAACTAATTAGAATGGACTTTGAAAGGGGTGAAAGGTTATGAGACTGTCTATCAAAGACAAGCTTTCAAAAGACAAATATAAAAATCAAGCATCATATCTTAAGGGTGATACTAATATATGTAAATAGGAATACTGGAACCACCCAACTAGATATGATGGAACTTGACATACAATAAAGGCAACAGCAAAAATAACAGAAAACACAAAGTTAAACTGCAACAACAACAAAAAACACACACACAAAAACATACACAAACCACCACCACCACCACCAACAACAACAACAACAAGAAAATAATAATAATAAAAATAAAGACATGTCTTGCTGAACGATCGAAAATATAACATCTTTGACTTAATGCCAGAGAGACTATTTACCGCCTCCACACGGCATAAAACATACTTTTGTGACAATAAAATAGAGAAGAAAAGAATCCCTAAAGGATGTCCAAAACATATTGAGCAGATAAAATGGAGTTCACGCGCCGTTTGTCTTGAGAAAAAGCCATTGATTATCAGTCTCATGGTAAAACTAATTCTAGACAAATGTAATGTCGAAAAAACACAGTCATTATGATTTTAAATTCTGAATAGATACTATTGATGAAGTATCTACATGCTCATGGTAGTCCCTGTAGGTATTTTGTCTTTATCAGACTCGTCTACGTCATTTATTTCTTGAACTCAGCAATGGATTGTAAAGTTGCTGGAGCTACATATCTGTTTGCATCAATATCTGTATATACTCAAAATAACAGAGAATTCTTGAATTTCAAAGAAATATTTCATGGCCATAATCTCAGCAGCAACAATTTTCATTCAGTGTAAGTTTGGATATATGTTGTTAAGGTAGACCATGGCTTATGAGCACTATAAGAACTGTAAAATTGACATCATAGGACAGTTATATGTCTTAAAGGTCACCTGTATGCAAAATTAAAAAAAAATACCGTGTGGTTTATGAGTTCTGAATATTTTTCTGAACTAAAACTTTCTATTAGAAGGGTATTTTTTTCAGAAATGAGAAAACTCTAAATAACATATAGTATCATCATAATGAAAAATGTTTTCCTATTGCTCATTGCTAGCAAATAAATAATAACATTCGGGTATCAAAAATTACAAGAGCAAAATGATTGCTTCTTAAAAAAATGTATAAAAAAGTAACC